CCTGCCCGCTGGGCCCCGGCGACGGGCTCTCCAGCCCGGCGGCCCGAAGGGGAAGCGCCCGGAGCGTAACTGGGAAACGGGGAAGGGCAGGTCCTTAGGGACATCGCGCCCAAGGCTAGTTCCCCGGGCAAGGCCTTCTCTCCACCACCGTGAAATGTGCCAACAAAGGTGACCAAGCGTCACCCATCCCCAAAACTAAAGGACCCAAACAGAAGTCCGAGGGTAGGACCGAGAGGGCCCGGCTGCTGAGTGGGTCTGGGTGGGATCGCTCTCCGCGGGTGCTGAGCCCGCAGGCTTCCCGGATGCCTGGCCTCGTGCGGGCAGCGTCTCTGCCGCTTCCTCCCTAGGTTTCCCCCTTCTCTTTATTTTGATGCCTCTTATTATGAAGAGCCCATCTGCAGTTTGCACAGCGTCCCAGACGCAGCCGCTTGGGGTTCACTGGTTTGAACACACTGAGTTTGCCTGGGGCGAGAGGGTATTTTTCTGTACGCGGGACTTTTTGGGACGAAAAGAAAAAAAAATAAAGTCGTCTCTCAAAAATAAAAAAAATGTAGAACTTAGTTTTAGCAAAAGTAAAACCAAACAAAATTGTTTTTACGCACTCGGCTTTAATAAGAGTCAGCAGAGACTCACCGAGTGCGCGATTACATGACTGTGATAGACCCGGGAGCCCAGAGGCATTGCTTGTCTGATTTCGCAGGACGCGCATACCGGGTAGGTTTGATAATTAAAGGCCACTTACAGAATTCCGTTCCCTCCTCGGGTAGAATCTAAACCTGAGTTTATTAGAGATGTCGCTTGGTTTGATTTTTCTGTCTCCAAACCATGCTGCGTGGATCACACGGGGCTTCCCGTGGTGGGGACTCAGGGACCGCCTTGGTGTGAGTGTGCCGGGCGCAGCCCCGGAGGTGGTGGCGTGGCCCGCTGTCCCGCGGCGAGGCTCACCGTGAACCTTTGTTGCTGCGCAGGCCGAGCGGCGAGCCCCAGGTCGGTCTGCGAGGGCTGCCAGCGGGTCATCTCGGACCGGTTTCTGCTGAGGCTCAACGACAGCTTCTGGCACGAGCAGTGCGTGCAGTGCGCCTCCTGCAAGGAGCCCCTGGAGACCACCTGCTTCTACCGGGACCAGAAGCTGTACTGCAAGTATGACTACGAGAAGTAAGTGTCCCGCGCGGCGCCCTAGCCAACTGGGAGCCACAGGAGGCACACGAACCCCGAGAAGCTGGGTTCCCTGGCCCCCATCCTGCACACTCCCAGGAGGGGGAGAAATGCGCAGCGACACCGCCGCCGCCGTCCCAGGACTCGCCAGGGAGGCTCCCCTTTGTGGTCGCCTGGCCCAATTTTCAGTCCTCTCGGGGCCCCTGCCGGGATTTGGGATGCCCATCAAGCTCGTGCCCTCCAACCCCCCTTCCCTGGGGTGCCATGTCTCCTCGCCGGTTCCCAGCCCACCTTACCCACCCGTCTGCGCTCCCCACACGCTGATGCCAGCGGCGAGGCTGCGTGGATCCCGAGGCCCCAGTCCCCTGCGCGGTTTCCCCTGGCTTTGTCCACTGGGGTCCCGACAGATTGCACTCAGACCCGGCGCTGCGGCCCTCCGAGCGCCGGTGCACATCCGTTTGTCTTTTCTCTCACCGCGCTCTAACCTTCCCTTCCCCGGTTCTCCAAACTCCTCCGACGCGGGGCTCTGGGCTACCCTGGGGCCTGAGGCAGCCCCGCGTCCATCCCGCCTCCTCCGGATCCCCAGGGCGTGCGTTTGGGCCACGCAGCAGGGGATCCTCCCTTGTGCTCTGAGGTGAGTTGGCAGACAGGTATTTCAGAAGGTGGATTGCTGGGGATCTGGACTCCGTGCTGCCTAAAGCGGGTGAGGCTGGGCGCGCCTTAGGGTTGGCTTTGAGGAGCTCAGCGGAGGGGCACTGCTCTCCTTGGCAAAATGGCTAGTTAACAGGGACGCTGACTTCACAGCCTCCGAGGGTCTGGACTGATGGAAACGCGGCTGAGACCCAGGCCTGTATCTGTGCAGCGGGACTGGTCTGTGTGACGTGGGCGCGGGAGCCTGCGGGAGAATTCCGCGTTTGCTGGTGAATGAACGAACGGGCAGCACCCTGAGGGTGGTGGAGGGGTTAGTGTGCTGGAAAGCTGTCCCGGCCTGTTACTGAAGACACAGTGCAGGGGCGTGCAGGTCTCCATGGAACAAAAGCACCGAGAGAAAACAAATGTGTTCCTCTCCGCGTTGCCGTGTTTGGGTTTAAATATGACAAAGCTGTGATCCCACAGGAACTATTCTTCCTGCCGCTCAGTGCTGCTTCGTCAGGATATGCGTGAATTTACCCCGGTGTGGACAGAGTGCGGGCGTTTTGGGTGTGTTTGGAAATGGTAACTTTGCATTTTCAGCACTAACAAAACACGTGTTTGATTTGGGGTGAGCTGTACAATGCAGAACAATATAGAATGAAAACGCACATCGCTGTCCCAGAGTGGTAATTATGGTTGACGTTAAAGAAAGATAGGCTTGTGTCTGTTCCTGGCTGTCTGTTTACTGCTACAGTGTCTGAGCGAAAGGCGCAATTTTTAGGTAATTGAGCAGATTTTGACCACACGAGTCTCACGTCTGGAGAAAGCTCCTGTTTGATTGCTCGCTTTTCGCCCGAAGGTTGTGGGATAGTGCAGACCCAATCTTTATCTTTCTGCTTATCGACGATTACCCAAATGTCCACATCGTTGGGCAGAACACTAGCAGGTTCAAAAGCATTGGAGCTTAGGGAAGGGATTTGGGTTGTGAATTCCTATTCTGTTTGTTAAAAAAAAAAATCAGAAAAGGCTTGAGGGTCAACACAGCTGTGTGGCTGGTGGTCTCCTCTAAGGAAGCCAGGCTGTGTCAAGAGAGGAGACTGTTGTAGGCCCTTCACACACCATGACCCTCCACCTCAGCCCCGAGGCTTGGCGGTTGGCTGATTAGCCCACTTAGGGTCCCTCTCCCCTCGAAAACTGTTTCTGCGGAGAGAAAATTGCAAGGATCAGTTAGCCAGCTGTTGGCCAGAGCCAGAGGGTTTAGAGAGGAGGGCGAGCAGCCACGCTGTTCAGAGAGACGGCGATGGTGCAGGGAGGGCTTCCATTTTAATTTCAACAAATATTTCAGAAACGCAGATGTCCAAGACGGGTGCTGGGTCGCTGAAGCTCCTTGCCTGTGCCCCGCCTGTCAGTTGCTTTTTTGGATTAATTTTATTCCCCCTGTCCCCCTCCTTCTCTATCCCCCACCCCACTCCCATTCTTCTTCCAACAAAACGGGGTTTTAATATATTTGATCATCTCCATGGTGTTAGTCTGCATGGTGGGAGAGAAAGAAGAGGTTTGTTTGTTTCTTTGTTTTAAAATTGGGCTCAAGACAAACTCCTTCTTTATTATTGCACGGAGCAGCTTCTATGTGCAGGGCAGGGGTGGGGGGCGGCTGCTGCTGGGGACTAGCCTCAGTCTGCCCTCAGGGGGTGTGTAGCCAGTGCCTTCCTCTGCAGCATCCTGGCCACCAAGTATTTCTGGAAGGCCCTGTCCTGAGGGTGCAGGCGGGAACGGGTGGCAGCGTCAGATGACCAGCACTTTCCCTCGAGAGGAATACAGTCGGGTTGTAGGTCAGAGTCACGAAACTGAAAGCTCGTCTCCTCTAACACACGTGCATTTGTAAACATAATTTTGCTTTTCTTTCACTGGATCTTTTAAAAATGTGAGGCCCAGCCAAGGCAAAGGGAGAGGAAAATATGACAGACGTTGAAGTGGTTGGACATGATGGGGTGGGTTGTGGGGCTCTTCACAGGAGATGAGCAGCCAGGAGCGTCCTTGTCTCCAAACCCACGAACTCCAAACGCTCTTTCTAGACACAACAGTGACGAAGCAGACAGCTGCTGCGCATCCCAGGCGCCCTGCACATCACGCTCACATTCACCAGGCAAGTTTGTCATGTATATTTCAGCCACTCGTATGTGCATTGCTGGCTGTTGGGCAGTTTTGCACTTGAATTATTAGCTGCCTGTTCCTGGTGTCAGGCAGCCAGTTAAAAAGTGAAATGTCTACTCTATCAACCAGTCGTCACACCTTCTCGATGTCAAACACCGAATTTGTCTGATTAAAAAAGAAGGGAATTGATAGAAGTACCTTAGGCGCCCGGCCACTCGTTTGAAAGCTTCAGGATGCGTTGTTGAGTATTTCTGTCCCACACGAGGACGCCCTGAGGAACAATTCGTCTCCTGGTCATCCAAAACAAACAAGCATGGAGAGCCCGAGCGGAGCGCGCTGATTTACGCACGGTCAGGGATGAAGAACTGGGCGTGAGCTTTATTGTTCATGACGAGTCATCTGAGAAAAAGGACTGGTCCGGTGGGGCGATAACTCCCAGGAAGAAGAAGTCCGTGGGTGGCACATTCACAGGACGCAGGAGGTGCGGGTGGTTAAGGACTGGACCCAGCCCTCTGCCGCGTTCCCGAAGTGAGCAGACGACCAAGCTACGTCCCAGCCTCTGGGACTTCTGTTTATAGAACTGCTGGTCCCTCTAACTGAGTCCTGCGATGTGGGTAGTTTGGAGGTTTCCCTAAGTTTTTTCCAAACAGATACTGCAGTTGGACTGAAGTGGAGACAGGAGAGGCTGCGGAGTAGGGGCGTGTGGTCACAGGCTCCCCGGGCACTCAAGTGGATGCTGTGTTCTCCCTGCGCCTGGCGGCTCAGCGTTGGCAGGGCCAGTCCCCTCACATGTGAGGTTTACCATCATCCCGGGATTGCTCTGGACGTCGTCGGAGCCGTCTGGGATGGAAGTGCTGTCGTCCGGGCTGCTCTCCCAGCAGCATAACTGTGTGGGAATGGAACCATGTCCTCACGTGTCAGCAGATCGCAGGCCTGGGAGCCTCTCCCGGCCGGCCCTGGGGCCTCCCCTTGCTTGTGGAGCAGACGGGCTCTGTGAAGACGGGAGAATAGGGGCTCCGCACACATCCCTCTGAGAGCCTCTCTGTAGCATCTTTTTTGGACTCGATGATTGGCAGCCCCTCCGAGAGGATGGCTGAAGGACTGGCCTCTGTTGGGACCTGAATGAACTAATTGTGCGTTTATCAAGGTCACGGAGGATGTGCAGGGAGGGCGGTTAGTTTGGTTTTGTTACTGGGACACTCCTTGGAGGTCAAAGTTGGGCCCGCAGTTCCTCCTCAGAGGAGCCACCCATGGAACGACAGAGGCCACTGTTCCATTTTTGCTGGACTTGCCCTGTGGCTGGCCCCGGCCCTGGCATAATAACACGCAAGGAACAGAAAAATCAGACGCAGCTAGGCCATCAATTGCCGTCTGTTAAATTGCTGGGGGATTAGCCTGGAGTATGCAGCGCCATCCCCAGGCTGTGGCCGTGTGTGTGTGTGTGTGTGTGTGTGTGTGTGTGTGTGTGTGTGTGTGTGTGTGAGAGAGAGAGAGAGAGAGAGAGAGAGAGAGAGAGAGAGAGAGGCATTCCTCGTTTTTTATTTAGAGGGTGATTGGAAACAGTCCTTGCTCAGAGGTGTTTTCCTTTTTGGTCCCGGGCAGGACTTTCTTGGAATCTAAGACTTAAACTTCTGAAGCAGGATCAGAGAGCAGGAGGAGGTACTCATGGCGTCTGGGACCTCGAGGTGAACGTCGCCGTGAGGGGCCGTGGGTTCTTTTGATTCTCACGTAAGTGGTGCGCACTAGGAAGGGGGATGGCCCCGGCTGTGCGGTCGGGGACCTTGTCGTCCACCTGGCCACGCTGTGGCTATTGCTCTTCACAGTTCAGTGGCAGGAACTTTTCTGACAGTTCGCTGTTTGTCGGGCCTTTTAGTTTCATTTTTCCTATTTATGATTTTTGTATTCACCAAAATCCTGTTGGTAATTCTAGAGAAGCGCCCTCACTGTTCCTTCTTAATTCTGGGAGGTTTTTGCAGATAATGAAGACATGGTGTGTCTCCAATGAGAGCAATTCCATTTATTAAATTATCAGCTAATTATTGTTTCATGGCCAAAGAAATGTTTTGGGTGCTAGTATTTAGAAGTGAGAAAATAAACAAGGATTTAGAATACTCATGATGTTACCAGAAATTTATTAAAGCTTCTTAGACTAAATGCATACATAAAATGTCGTTACTTTTAAAATACCCCGTATCGAGTCACGTTAACGTGAT